ATTTTTTTCAGGATATATTTTAATTTTAAGTTCTCTGCAAATTTCAAAAGATATATTTTGAAAAAAATACAAGCTCATTGTTTTTATTTTTTAGCTTCTATCCTTTGTATAAACTATAAGGTTACTGAATGTTTGTAATTTCTTTAATAAATAAAATAAAAAACCAGAATGTCTCAGCTATAGCCTTTAGACCAAAGCTTTAACAGGTTTAGGGTTCTGAAAAGCTGCCTGCTGATTCACGTTAGCAGTGATGAAATGCCTTGTATGTTGTGTGCTTGCAGTCAATATAGGAAATATATAATTAGTATATTTATAATTTATTTCCTGTATCAATAAATAATTAAAGGAGTTGGAGTCAGAGGTACCATGAATGTCGGAGTCAAAGGTTTTATGTGCCAACTCCACAGCCCTGATGCAAAGTCATGTGTCTGCCAATGCATTCTAATATTCAGAGCGTTTCTTCCTCCTGAGCTAGATGGAAAGGCCAGAACTTAAGTTCTCTGCTACAATCCAGGAAAGAATCTCCATAGGGAGAGTTCCACAGCTTGGCACAGTGACTGAAAACACCTGTTTCTAGGTCCCATCAGATAGCTTTCTTAGATGGACTGGATCTGGAGGGAGTTGACCCTGTCTGATTTGATTGGACAGGCAATCAATCAATCAGATTGGACAGGCAAATTAATATGAGAGAAGGTGGTCCTACATAAGTTATCTAGTTATTCAGATAACCTTATTCAGACTTGTTCAGAATAAGAGCATCAGGCCCTTTATTTATTAATATATTACTCAACAGGCTTATAAAGATACAATGTAGTTTACAAACACAAATACCCAAACAAGAATTAAAAGCTTGCCAGAATTTCAGGTGTGGAGGACTACAAAAAAAATTGCTGACAGTGATAGCCAGCTATCACACTACTGTGAGCAAAAGCATATAAAATGAGCTCTAAAGTTAATCTTACCCCGACAGAAAATAGAGAAAACATTTACTTTAATTGTTTTTATTTTTTAAGTTTTGTTCACTACCCAGAGTTACTTGGTGAGATGGGCAGCCATACAAATTAAATAAATAAATCAATTACTGGTCCGATGTCATTTTTATTATTTATTTATTCCATTTGTATGCTGCCCGACTCCCAAAACGTCCAGGAGGTTCACAAGTAAAACACAGGAAAAAAATAAAATAAAACAATAGTAAAAACAAGGAACAAAAGATGTCCCAAAATCAGCACCAAAGCCTTCAACTGGGCCATGAAACTAATTGTAGGCAATGCAGTTGACCCAACAGTGGAATAATAAGTTCAGAATGGCCAGTCCCAGTGTTAATCACTCAGACTGGTAACTGCCAGATATCACTTAAAAAGCCAGTGGTCACAAAGCATGTACTTTATTAATGAGCTATGGACAATTTGCAAAAGACCTTCATGGAACCCATAACTTTATTTGGACCCTTACAATGCCTCTGCTGCATAAGTGAGGTCAGAGCAACATTACTGCCATTATTTGGAAAAACAAAAATAGACCTTCTGTGTAAGCCCTGAGGATACCCTCTTGATTAATCCATCTGCGTGTCAAACCTGGAGAATAAATGACATAAAATGGCGTTTTTCTGGCTGCTCTGCAGCTGTGGGACTTTCTTCCCACCCAGAAACTCATCAGAGATTTGAGTGTTTGAAGAAAAGGTTATAAATAGCTATTTAACAAACAAGGGCCTGTCTCATGGCTTTGAACTGTTGACATATATTACAGATTGTGGTTGTAGTTCTAATTTCTATTTAGATATGTGCTATACATCAGTTTAAGCTGCCATTCTTATTGGGCCCTAAGGAAAGGGCAGACTAGAAATGGAATGAAGGAAAGAAGTATGAAAAACAATCACACAGCTTCTAAATACACCCCACACCCTCAACTGCATCTGCAGGTTGATAAGGTTCTCTGGAAGACCATCCATTCTACTTAAGGGAAGGTGTATTATCTTCTGCCCCTTGTGTTCAGATCACTCTCTGTTGGCCTGGAGTTGCCCAGCAGGAAGGTGGGATCTGTTTGATCCATCTGTCCCAGGTGCCTTATGGATCCTGTTGGTTTTCAGAGAATGGTTAGGAAGTTTCCTGAGGTTCTGGTGGGATGCTCAATTGAGGCTTTAGTCACCACCTGGAATGAGTGGAGGACAAGCCTTCATTGGATTGTCCTGAGCAGCATTTCTTTGTCTACCAATCCTGGGTGCTCCTTGGTTTACTAAGGAGCTCTGGAACATGATGCAACAAAAGAGACACCTACGGCATTGTTGGAGAAAGACTGGGAGGGACTGTAACCAGACATGTATATGACACTGGATTAAAGAGTACCTTGTGGCAATAAGAGCAACAAAATTTAATTATTTTTTCACTCTTATCATGCCTGCAGAGTGCCACCTGGTGGCCCTATTCAGGGTGACCTGTGCCCTTTTAGGAAGGGAGGGTCCTGATGAACATCTTAAGAGCTGCTGTGAGGATCATGGTAGGCATCTGATGGATACAACCACTCAGATTCTTTCTGACTAGGTGGATCCTACTGAGGTGAGATAGGCTCTATTCTCTGGAAGGAATTTGAGCCTATGGGTCCTGAGGAACTGCACAGGATTTTCAGAGCTGTGAGTGAAACTACCATGTCAGCCATTCAAGGTAAGAACAAGAAATAGAAACAGCAAGGATTCCAGGAATGCATTTTATTGTTGTAGGGTAGAATAACAGAATCTTGAAAGCTTGTCAGAGTTTCTCTCTGCCCCTTCTCATACCAAACAAATCAAGGCAAGATTATTTTGAGTTTCTTTCTCACACTTTCCACTTTCTTAGGACTGAGTTGTCTTTTTTTTTCTTTCAGTAGTTCATTGCTCCCTTCCTCCTTCTGAAGGCCAGACCTACAGTACATCCTTTCACACACCTGCAGGTTAGATCCATGTCCCTCCTGGCTGATCAAGGCCACCTGGGAGATGACACATGGTTAGGTCCAAGTGGTGGTGAATTCATCCTCGAAAGAGGTAGTGGTATGCCCCTTCCTCCCTGGACCCAATGATATTGGACAATTTTTCTCCAGTTTCCAACCTCCCTTTTGAAGGAAAGATCAGAGAGAAGGTGGTTGGGCTGCAGCTCCAGCGGCCTCTGGGGGAAAGAGATTATCTGGATACTTCTCAGTTAGGGTTCAGGCTGGAGTATAGCACTGAGATAACTTGGTGGATGACCTCTACTGGGACTTGGGGTGATGCAACTCTCCTGGTCATCCTTGATCTTTATCTCTCAGTGGCTTTTGATACCATTTATCATAGTAACCCACTGGGCCAGTTTTGGGAGTGGGGGGGCACTATTTTATAGTGGTTCTCCTGCTTTCTCTGGCGCTAGTTTCATTCATCATTTGTAGAAAGGGAGAGACAGAGTCCTAGGCCCACGGTTTGTGGAATTCCTTAGGGCTCAACATTCTACCCATTCCTATTTAACATCTACAGGAGACTGTTAGGGGAGGTTATACAATGGCATGGAGTCAGGTGCACCGATTATGCCCATTTGTACAACTTGATCCTTGGACAACCAAGCAATGCTGTCAATGTGCTGTCCCAGTGCCTGGAGACTGTTAGGATCTAGAATGGGAGGAACAAACTTAGGTTCAACCCTAGCCAGACCATTTTGATTTTGACAGACTCCACTGGGCACAAACAGAAGCCCTTTGTATTCTGGTCCAAATGTACCTCCTTCCCCCTCCAATAGGCACAGAATAGTTTGGGGCGTTTATTTAAAAAAAGTATTATGAAATTTTTATTTCAGAAGGCATACAGAATATAAATATAAGCTGTAAAATATAAGCTGATTTTGAGAATTACCTAGCTAGGAGTGGTAAAAGGTAGCCATTGGAGTGGTCATGACCCTTCAAGTTTCTCAACCAATTAAAGAATGAATATATTATAATTTTTCATAACTAGGAATGGCACGTTGAAGAGTGCTCAACAGGCAGGTGAATAACCGGCAAATTTATTTTCCACTGATACTCACCCAATGTGGTTTGTCCTCAGAGATATCTCTAATTCCCGAAGAACCTGGGTCGATTCTTGAACTCGTCTCTTAAACTGGGTAAAGAAACAAATTAAAAATTCCATAGAAATTAAAAACCTGGCATATTTTTATTTGCCCTGTGACTTACTTATGCATTATATTTCGACCCTGGGTTTGAAAAAGTATCTACGCTTCGATGGGAAATAATACAGACAGCGCTAAGAATTTCATACTGTAAATATGCCTTGCAATCAATAGTGAAGTACAGAATGGCTCTTTTGCTGGTTGTACTTTTCATATTGATTGCAGGCAGATTATTATGAGCAAATAAAAATCATACACCCAGAAATCAAATCACAAAAATACTCCAATAAAGGGATCTGTTCAAATAAAGCTTATGGCTCAATTTTAAATAATTAAGACTACAGGAACTGTGAGTTTCTGGCAGGCCTATTAAGGGATGAAAGCCATTCAAAACTGATAAGTTTTACTATTAAAATGTGGGTCTTTAAAGGTCAGGCTTTTTTGATAGAAAATGCAGGTGTGTGACACCAGTTAAGAGAGTGATATCAATCTATCTCCCCAGCATAAGGTTACTCGTATCTTGCTCACTGTGCTGCAAATGATACTCCCACTTCTCTGGCCAGGCCTAGAAATAACTATGGTGCATGCCATTGCTCAGTCTATCTTTTGTGTTGCACGCATGGGTGTATTACTTGCTGTAGACCCTATAGAAAATGTAAACATGCTCCCACCCACCCCACATGCCTACCAGGCCTTTAGCATCACTGGCTCTGCGGAAAGGACCTATGACTTCATTTCTTTTTCAAGAATACTCATTGTATTTTATTTACAATTGCTTATATTGTTTGCCAGCTACTGAAGGATTGTTACTCTGAAATACAAATAGCTCCAATAAATAAATAAATAAATCTGTAACAGCATGCAAACTAGCAATTTCTACTCATCATGAGGAATTCAGGAAATCAAAAAGCCACTTAAAGAAATCAGTTGTGTTTGTTTGCTGGCAGTTTTTTTTTTTTTTTTGCTCTGTTTCACCTAAAAGTGAAATTAGCCTTAGGGAAGAAAACTATGATAAGCAGAGAGTCCAGCTGCTAATAGTTTATTTGCAAAAAGCATCTTCTGCAAAATCTTTTTACTTTTATGCAAAAATTTCCAGTTGGAGAGAGGATAGAAAGAATGTGGAAATAATTAGGGGAGAGGAGAGAATATGAAATGGCCATATTTTTTATTTGTAAGCCGCCTAGAGTCATTTTATAGTGAGATAGGTAGTGTATAAATTTGATTCATAAATAAAATAAATAACTATTAGCCACTTAAAAGTCACCTTTCCGCTGAATCCACCCGTGTCTAGATAGCTCTTCAATTTTTGGAGATAGGCAGATGGCGGGTTCTTTACCTGGAATCGTTCCTACAGATGGGCACAGATGGAGTGGGAGAAGAGAAACAACACAATGTTTTCATTAAATCCACAAGGAATAGAGGGAATTCTAAAAATGCAAATACATTATGGGAATAGACAAGTAAGGTATCTGCTTTTGTAGAAGATGCTGAGGAAACAAATTCCAACTGTTAAACATAACCAAAATTGCAAATATTGCAGGTGCTTCTAGGCCCAAGCGTTAGCAGCCTTTAGCTGCCAGACCTAAATGCTTATGAACCATGCTGAACTGCAAAAGGATGAACAGTAACACAAAGAGAAAAAGAAACCTCAATAGGCAAGGCCATTATGATCTATCTTGGCCTGCTGCAGCTTAGGAAACTCCAACTTTACAGCCCAGCCATTAAATATACGTTCCACACCTCAGGATCTACCACAATAATACCCTTCTCTTAAAGTACTTTAGCCTGCAAATGTATACTTTGGAATGTGCTATACAAGCTACATAGGTTTCCCCCAACTCTGTTGCAAACTGTAGACTTTAGAAAATCAGTGGAGCTATGGAAAGAGATTGCAGAGAATCCCTTCCATACACACTGTCTAAATGTACAACTGAAATCTTCTAGTCCTGTACAAGTCACCCCTGCATCTTCTTCCCATAATAACTGCATTGCATCACCCTTGTGCCACAATGTGACATAATGTTTCACAAGAGCGATTGTGTGCTGTCTCATGTTCTTATTTTTTGAACCATGAGTGCTGAAACACTTCCTTTCAAAGGAGTCTCCTATAATTAGAGGACACATTGCTAATTAAAACTTGTGTGTGAATGAATGAAAGTGTCTAAGAAGTAAGAGTAAGGCAGGAGTGTCCTCAGAGTATGCTAGGAACTTTAACTTTATTGTTGCAGTCACCATCTTGACTTTTTTTTACCACACCCTGCAGACACTCCTGGAGCAAGTTCAAGTCTGTACAGAAAAAAATTAGAGAGATGGCAAGGCAGTGTGTATATGTACATATATGTAAAAAAGGGTTGTGCTCATGTATGCATGTGAGCTAATGCTTTCTTGAATGATCTGTTCTGCAAAGAATTTGAATCCTCTCTATGCATTTCTGATGGTTTTGCAGATTCTAAGACTAAAAGTTCTGGCCTGCAAAAATCTGAATGATCATCAGTGTTCATCTTGAGTTTTGCAGCCTGGAACCTGAGGCCTAAGAGATTTGAAAAACTCAAAAACTGCTTTCAGCTGCTTTCCATCTGTAAAATGGGGAAACGCCTTTCAGAATCTTTTGAATCCATAAAAGAACCAATTTTCCTCACAAGCAGATGTTCCTGAGTTGGTAATGGCAGGGCAGGAAATAAGTCTCAGGGTTGTGGTGGATAACTTGAAGTTGTTCACACAGTGTGCACCCATTATCTACCTCTTGAGACAGATGCTTTAATTCATGGCAGGGCTGTTGCCTCTTTGTATATTTGTTCCATTTTTTTGTGAGCTACACTCTGTAGCCATTGCCATTTTCCATTAAAAACTTCACTTATAACAAAACAACATAGTTAACAAGGTCACCTAGTGGCTGTATGCAGCCTAAGCTTAATTTGAACTAGGACACACAGGTTATTTATTTATTTATTTATTTATTTATTTATTTATTTATTTATTTAGTGGTTTAGCTGATGTGCAAACTCACTCCTTACTGGTTCATTTAGGAGTCAATAAGTTGTCAAACTCAGCAAGTGGGTTAACTCAGTGACTGAGTTAAATGCGTTGTGTGAAGACAGTTATACAGATGCACATTTGTCTTCCCAAAGATCAACAAGAACATCTGCATTTTCCACACACTGCCACTTCCTATATGATTCATGCTAAATGAAGGCCAACTTTTTTTTTTTTTGCCCATCACTCAACTGTATTTGCTGTGAGCCAAAGCTGACACTAGCAGACTCCACCTCACAAGGGTCCTGTGACCTGCTTTCACTCAAACGCAGAAGAGCGAGGGAGCTATTTTCTTGATTCCCAACTGCCCACCCAGTCAATGAACACCTTAAAATTAATCTCTGAAATAAAGGACATTATGAAGTCGCCCTATGGAAGAGCCGTTTTATCAGGTCTGCGAAGAGCTGGATCCCACACAGACATCTGCACACTGAGAATGAGTCATTCTTCTCTTTTTCTGTCCCTTCAGCATCATTCGCAAGCCTGTGCCTTTATTAAACTGAGGAATATATAGTTTCACAGCGTGCACAGGTGCCGTTTTTTTCCCCGTGTGTCTCTGCCAGCAGCTTGTTTTCCGGAGCGGCCCTCTATTTGAAGAGCTGTTTGCTGGATTAGCAGGGAGAGTAACTATCTTCCTTGTTTATCTCAGGGTGGAGACAGATTGTTTCTCCGCCACCACTAAACTCATGAAGGCAGTTCAAAAGAGGGAACAGCTGTTTGTTATGACACACCCCACTTTCATATGTACCCATTTAGGTTTGGCAGGTATTTGAACTGTTTCAGCCAAGGTGATAGTGGATTTCTTGGCTAGGTTCACATCACAGTGTGCCTTCTTTAGTTTCAGCTTAGCAGAAAGTGTGAACCTAGCAAACAATGGTTTAGACAATAAACCATAATTTAACATGATGTATGAGCCCAGTGAAAAATGCTTCTCTCGATGCCACTTTTAGCTCATCTGGATGGGTACAAACAGACCAAAAAGCAAGAGTTACCACCCCCAGCTTTTCCTGCCATGTAGTAAACCTGGCTTGGTGCTCTGAAAAACAGATGTACTTCCTTTTAAACCAAATGCTATGCGGTGAAGTTTGATTGAGAGGCTGGAATCTGCCTAATCACCTAGCAGTCAAATCAAGGTCTCTTGAATTTACACTTCTGGCTTTACTCAAACAGCTAATGAAGGCATGTGATGGGGGCTAAAATCATGCCTGTTGTGTCTATCCCCAATCTATTTAAACTTCTGTGAACAGCCTGCATGACAAATTGGTATGCCTAGAAAATTAGATGCATGCAAAGAGCAAAATAGCAGACGCGGTGAATGCAATCAAAACCTCATATATTGGTCTTCTGAATATACTACACTTCTCAAAAGCTAACCTGCTTGTATCAGGACGTCTGCTCTGATATTCTGGATAATGTTTGGTATTCTACTGACAGAGCTACTTGAGATGGTTTTTCCATAACACTTTCCTGTGGGGAGCAAGGACAGAAATGGCCCTGCTTATCCAATCTTCTCAAGGACACATCTACCCTAGACTTCTAACTCTACTCAACTGCTGTAGGTGTCCTACCAAGGATCTTTGAGATCTATCGTCTTAGGACAGAGCTAAAACAAGCATAGGTACAATAATGTCTACAAACGCCAAAATGCCTATGGAACAACCCTTGGTGCCTGTAGGCTCCCTGCCAAAACCTATTTTTTTAGACTCTTGTTTACTAAAAAATAAATAAATGGGAAGCTGACATGTTGCAAAACAAAGTGACAGCCTTTACAACACCCCTTTGTTTGGAAACACATCTTCACTTATTAAGAAAACAGTACCCCATAAAGGTAAGCTTAAGGGGCTAGAGAGTGCCCTGAAGGTCTAGAGGCAGCTGCAAGAAACAAATTCACCACTTTTCTTTGCAATAAATGGGTGTTTCACTCCCTCTATAGTAGGCATTTTGTGAGATTCCACAGCATGCTTTCAAAGATTGTTTGCTTGTCACTGAAAGATCAAAGATGTTCACCAGCTTCAGAAACTACAACTCCCAGAATTCTCAGATGTGTGAGGCGCTCTGAAGATTAAATCACATTGGAAGCTATTATAAATTATGCTTCATATAGCTACTTTAAAAATAGCACCCTGGTCCCTTACCTGGTCACATATTAATTCCCATTTCTTTTCATTGTCATACTGGCTCAGAAGCTTCATTTTGTCTGGCGGCAGGTTCATAGAATTCTTTAAAAAAAAGGGGGGGGAGAGAAACTATTGTTTGTACAGAGTCATTGCATAACAAGAATTGTGATAAGTTCAACCATGTAAAGTTTTTAATAACACCAGAGGAAAAAGGCAGAGCAATTAAGAGCAATTTGAGGCAGAAATGTACACAGGGAAGGCTTAAATTGTGCAGTTGAGGCTCTCATCTTGTCTTTTTTGACACCCCCTCCCATGGACTCCTCTGTTCTGAGGAGTACAAAGGCTTATTTAACTCATTTTTACAGTAGTGAATTGCTTCCACAATCACCATTTTTCTCCAGTGCTCCCACAACCTTTTCACACAAGTTCTTCCTGAGAGCTGAGATGCTTTTCTTAATTAATTTTCTTTACCTATTTTTACCTGGCAAACTTAATGCAGCCATAGATCTATTCCATGTTAGGAGATCTTCTTGAGAGGTTCTCTGCTCTGTGTCAGAAGCATCTGATACTTGTTGGGTGAGAACCTGAAATAGGTTCCTCTAGTTTTTTTCTCTGTAGCTTTCTTCCAACATGCTGTCACTTTGTTTCCAACACATTACTATTTTTCCTTACAAAAACTTCAAATATACACCACGTACATCAGTGCTGGCATATGCATAATGCCCAACAGTTCACTTCTATAATATTATATGTTTCACTGTATGCTATGTAGAGTCCCATGGTTGAAGTTGTATAGAAGCATTAATAATAAATACCTGATTTTATTTTTCTTCTAACAAGTGGTCACTATACATTGCCTACTGAGCATGCCAAGTCCCCAATGGAATATTTGGAAGGGGTGTTTCCCCTCTTTAGGGTTGTTTCCTCTAAGGATTTTTTTGTACTTCTGAAAGCATTAGAATTGGTATTTTCTTCTTCTGTATGGGTGGTGCCATTTTGGGCTTATAATCAAAGGCACTCATGCCTAAACATCAGCTATTAGGAAAAAATAATAAATCAGTCCTGTATAGAGTTGGCAAAATACAGCCTTATTTGTTGTCATTGAGAAATCTCAAAAGATTCAGAGGTGGTCATTCCATAATCCCATAACAACAGTTATTTTCTGTATACAATGAAGCAAGACCTCTTGGAAATAACCTGGAAAATATCTTGGAAAGCGGATATGAATGTATGGTATACACATGGTTAGTGGTAGAAGGATAGGAGAAAGGAATGATGCAAATGCAGAAAGTGGGGAATCATTTCCACATATCATTTTAAGAGCAATTTAAAAATCTGGATCCTCTAAATTGTATGATTGTTTATGAGTATATATTTTTCTATTTTTGTTGTGAGCTTCCTAGAGTTTATGATTGGGGCAACAGTTAAATACTTTGAATCAAATAAATACCATTTGACAGGGGTCCTAAAATTCACCACTTAAATTTTGCCTTTGATTTATAGCTAATATGAACAAGGTTTCCTACTCCTCAGTTTGATCCATTGTTCCACTTGGAGCTATGTTTACTAAATGGCTAGAAACATCCCCACTATAATTACATCAGCTCTCAACAAATAAGGTAGCTGGAGTTTTTCCCACTTGGGATCCATTTACTTCTACTTTCCACTCACCATATGGAGGGGTGAGAGAATATCTGCACTGCAACATGGAAACTCCATTAAATGGAAATCAAACTTTCCTTGGGATAACATGGTACAGCAAGTCTATTAATAGTCATGTGCTACTCAAAAGGCCTGGCTCAGAGTACAAAAGCCTGGCCACCCTAATAATGCTCATATTCATGGATTGCTGTGTTCCTCTTTTGCTTCAACATAGGGAACAAAAAAGAAGTCTTTCGCTCCTTGTGACTACGCTTGAATGAAATCAGCATATATTTTAGAGGAGATTATCTCAGTAGCAGGATGTGGCAAACTGGGTGTGCATTTGGTTCTTGCAACCATTCTTTCTCAACCCGACCCCTTCTCATTTCCCTTACAACTTATTGGTTGAACCCATACCACATAGGAGCAGAAAAACAGGACCATTGGTCAAACCTGCTGACTTGTCATGTGCCAGTTTTCATTTTTCTTAACAACTGAAAACACTAAACTGGAAAAACATTCCTTGATAATTCAGTAATCAGTGACAGCATCCAGGTGAAAAGATTCAACCTTTACTTGACTCTCAATACAGACTTACCAAATCATCTGCTTTGAGTGGTAATTATCTGTCTCCTAGTTTTACTGTTTATCCTAGTCCTTTTGCTTGATTTGAGATTGCCTGAATATTGTTTGCGAGTAAAATAAACTATAAAGAGAGAAGAGGAAAGACTGAAAGATATCCAACTTCCTAAAGCAGCTACTAGTATATGAAAAGACCATCTGTTTATTCCAGGACTGCTAATTTTACTCAGGATCCTTTTGTGAGGAACTTTTCCAAATTCAGGTCCAAGTAACTCTGGCATCTGAGTCTCAAAGACGAGCATGTTAACACTTTCAAACAACTGCAAAAAATTGGAAAGTAGTATTCCCCTCATAAAAGCTATGCTAATTCCTTCTATGCAAGATTTGTCCTTCTATACTCTTCATAAGATACCAGGCTTGTAATTTGGGGGTCCCCCAGCTGCTATTTCTGAAAGCTCACATAGGTCATTTTGAAACAAGATTTTTTACTCAGTAATAGCAATTTTGATTATATTGAGAATTTCCTGACAAACCACTGGCATGCAGCTGTTGTTTTGACCATTCTCAGTTTGCAACTATTCTGAATTATTTTCAAAGATAGTTTCATTTAGATTGCCTGAATACTGATGCCAGATTATTCCTGTCCAGTTCCCACTGCATCTGTTGTATCAGCCTGACATGATTAAAGGCACCCCTAGCCTAGCTACAAAGGTCACCTATGCTTCCACTGACAATGATAGATTCAGAAGCATCATCAAAGGGTTTGTCTCTTTCTCCAAAACAGGTTAAATATCACTCAGCTGGGCAATTGGAAAACACAACCTTCATTTTGCTGTAACTGAGGTCCAGTTTATTGCCCCTCAACCAATCCATTATCCTTTTTGGATATCAGTTCAGGACATCACTGCCCCACTCAGATTAGAGAACAATAGGAGGTAAAACTACATGTAATCCAATACAGCTGATACCTAGGTAAATCTGCTTATATCATTTCATGGATACGTGAAAAAAAAATCATGTAGGATAAAACAGTGGTATAGTTTTATGATGAAACTAGACTTATTTGGTCAGAAGTGGCATGGTTTCTTATTTTGGAGATAAATACAGTTTAAAGTCTTGCTGCTCCTACCCAAAAATGATAAACATCTGTATATTATCTTATCTCTTTTCAATTCTTTTCTTGGTAGAGGTGTGTGTGCATGGGGGGAGAAATATTTTATCTTTCATTCACCCAGAGGACCAGTTGATCATAAACAATTAAAACTTTATGTAACAATGACATGAAGAGGTAGCATAAGATATTTACATCATCAAAAGTCCTCAGTGATTAATTCCAAGAGATCTCTGCTTTCTCACTGTTAACTCTGTCCAACAATCAACTATCTCTCTCCTTTTCCAATTCTCTCCCGAAGCATTAATGCCCCAACCCATTTCTTGGACATAGTAATCCAAATTGGAGGGATGCACTGCCACCAATGGCCAATTCTAATGATTTGCCCAGAAAGGTACTGTGGTTGCTAAGATGGAATGCTGCTGAGATCACCAAAGGTACTGCATTCCCCACTTCTTTCTCTCTTGGCAAAAGTCATTCCAAAGAAGGATCACAGCTCTTTTTGCCTTGAAAACCAACCTAAAACCAGACAGAAATGGATCCAGAAAAATCAACTCCCTCTAAAATGCTTAAAATCAGTCAACAATATTAACTCAAGCACCTTGCCTGGATCCCCTCTCAGTGTTTCTCAATCTCAGCAAATTTAAGATGTGTGGACTTCAACTAGGAAAAACACTGCTTTACAGATTGAGGTTGCAAAAGGCTGTGTTGGATTCATTGAAATCTAGATCTGATTCAAAGAGCGGAGAGCTGGATTCCCACACTGTGCTAAGCCACAATGTGGTTGGTTTGGTTCTGGCTTAGTGTGATGTATGATTCAAACCACTGTAGTTTAAAAATGATGGTTTATGTCTAGGGTGGGAATGCAGACCCCAGTCCTAAGCCCTGTCCAGAGCAACCCGAAATTGTGCAACTGAAATTCAGGAGCAAATCAGTACATTTTAGTAGTGCAAATTTGGAGGGGGTTTAATATCATAAATAACATTCCAAATAAGTGCATTCAGAAAGAAATTAAGATGAGAAATAAGTCCTAAAATATTGGGGAATACTCCATGATGGCTTCATAGAAGAATCTAGTACACAAGTCTTTCTAATCTTCAACATCTCTTGGATATTGGGAATACGAGATTGTGAGAGTCTGCAGGAATTTCTATCTGATTATTTGTTACTATTAACAGCAGCCATATTGAAAGTGGCTGCTGGCAGTCAAGATTACCAGACAATTGTTAAAACTGCCATATTATAAACACTCAGTAGGTATCTTCTATCTGATAAGAAAAGGAAGAGTTCCAGCTCTTTTCAGAGGGAACTCAACAGCAAGAAAACATGTAATGTATCGTCATCATCATCATCATCATCATCATCATGATGATGTTGATCTTCATAGATCTCCTATAGCATTTTCTTATCTCCAGCTGGCTTGCAATAGGGCTGCCAAATACAACTTCTATGTTGAATACTTGCT